AGGAAAAAATTCCTTCTTGACCCCAAAATGGCAGTCAGATATCTCCTTGGATCAAGCAGCTATTACCCCACTAATTAGAAATGATATCCCTATATGTTATGTTTTTGGAAGTATTTATCCAATTGCTGTTTAAACATCTGTATGGACTCTGATAAAACCACCTCTTCAGGCAGAGAATTCCATATCCTTATAGTTCTTACTATAAAAACCTTTCTTTTGCCTTAGATTAAATCTAATTTCTTCCAATCTAAATGCGTGACCTTGTGTCCTATATATAGCCCTGTTTATGAATATATTTACAAATAATGGTTTGTACTGGCCCCGAATATATTTGTATAATGTTATCATATCCCCTCTGAAGCGCAGTTTTTCAAAACTAAAGAGATTTAAACTTTTTAACCTTAAAGTGCTCCATTCCTTTTATCAATTTTGTAGTTCGTCTCCACACTTTCTAGTGTCATGATATCCTTCTTTAGAACAGGTGCCCAAAATTGCACAGCATATTCAAGGTGTGGTCTTACCAGCAATTTATAAAGAGGCACAATTATATTTTCATCCTGAGAATTTATGCCCCTATTTATACATGACAAAACCTTACTGGTTGTCTATAACAATTCCCAAATCCTTTTCGTGTGTGGTTATCTCTTATTCACTATCATTTAGAGTGTAAGTTGCTTGTGCATTCTTGACCCCAAAGTGCATAACTTTGCATTTCTCTACATTAAATTTAATTTGCCATTTTAGTGCCCAGTCCCCCAATATATCTAGATGCCTCTGAAGCAAAGCAATATCCTGCTCGCATTTTATTACTTTACAAAGTTTTGTGTCATCTGCAAACACTAAAACATGGCTTCCAATGCCTATTGCAAGATCATTTATAAATTTGTTAAATAGAAGCGGTCCCAAAACAGAACCCTGCGGGACACCACTTTTGTCCAGCTTGAAAATTTACCATTAATGACAACTCGTTGTACTCTATCCTTAAGCCAATGTTCTACCCAAGAACAAAAATATTAATCTAGACCAATTTCCTTAAGTTTGAAGACTAACCTATTGTGAGGAACAGTATCAAATGCCTTGGCAAAATACAAGTAGATCACATCCACTGCAACACCCTGATCTATACTTCTACTTACTTCTTTGTAGAATGCAATTAGGTTAGTTGGGCATTACCTATGTTTAATAAAACCATGCTGATTATTGCTAATAACAAAGTTCTTACAAATGAATTCTTGAATAGTATCCCTTAATAGCCCTTCAAATATTTTCCCAGTCACAGAAGTTTAGCTCACAGTTCTATAATTTCCAGGCAAGGATTTTGAACCCTTTTTAAATATAGGAACGACATCTGCCTTCCTCAAATCCTCTGGTACAATACCTGAAACAAAAGAATTTTGGAAGATTAAATACAAAGGTTCACATATTTCCACACTTAGCTCTTTAAGTACTCATAGGTGAATACCATCAGGCCCTGGAGCTTTATTTACATTAATTTTCTTTAATTGCTGTAGCACCTTGTCTTGAGTCACCCAATCACAAGTTATCTGCAAGTTTTTTGCAGCAATTATTTGCATATATCTTAGGATCCTCATTAATATATTAGCCATTAGCCATAGGATCCTCATTAATATATACTGAAGAAAAATAGTTATTTACAATATCTGCCTTTTCCTTGTCTTCATTAACTAACAGACCCATATCTGTTTCCAATGTACCTACGCTTTCATTTTTAGTTTTTTTAGAATTGATGTACTTGGAAAAAAATATTTTGTTGGTTTTGCATTCTTTGGCTATCAATTTCTCTTTTTCTATTTTAGCTACTTGATTTTGCCTTTTTCCAAGCATTATTGGCTTCCTTACATCTTGTATAGGATACCTCTGATTTGTCTGATTTAAATGCTTTAAATACCCCTTTCTTATTTTTAATCTCTTGTTTTACTTCTCTACTAAGCCACATTGGTTTCAACTTGTTTCTTTTATATTTATTACCCAATGGTTCACACTGAGAAATGTACGTTTCTAATATTTGTTTGAAGAGTTTCCATTTTGAAGAGTTTATGCAAGTTGATATGTTGTAGAGCTGCCCTAATTATAAGTTTTAGTATACCGCACGTGCTTTTGCTTTTTTTAATTTATTTTAAAAATTACCATATTGTGATCACTATTTCCCAAATGCTCCCCTACTTGAATGTTGGTCAAAAGATCAACATTGTTTGTTATAACCAACTGCAGTCAGGTCTAGACCCGATGAGGACAGCGAGCATGCAGATTAGCTTCCCTGAGACGGTTTCTGACAGTTTGTGCAGAAATTCTTTGGTTATACAAACTGATTGTTGCAACGGCTGTCCGGGTGGTTGGTCTCAGACGATCTTGGAGGTGAAGATGCTGTATGTGGAGGTTCTGGGCTGGTGTGGTTACACATGGTCCACGGTTGTGAGGCTGGTTGGATGTACTGCCAAATTCTCTGAAATGTTTTTGGAGACGGCTTATGGTAAACAAATGAACATTCAATTCACGGGGCAACAGCTATGGTGGACATTCCTGCAGTCAGAATGCCAATTGCTGGCCCCCTCAAAACTTACGACATCTGTGGCATTGTGCTGTGTGATAAAACTACACATTTTAGAGTGGCCGTTTATTGTGGTCAGCCTAAGGCACACCTGTGCAATAATCATGCTGTCTAATCAACATCTTGATATGGATGGATTATCTCAGCAAAGGAGAAGTGCTCACTAACACTGGTTTAGACAGATTTGTGAACAATATTTGAGAGAAATAGGCCTTTTGTGTACATAGAAAAAGTCTTAGATCTTTTGAGTGTATAATAGTAAAGCATGAATTACGCAGAAAAAAAATGTCTGTTAGCTGCTAGGGAAAAGAAACTGTGTCTGACTTACCTCATCACTACTTCGCCTAGCATAAGAATTGATAATGACAGAGTAATATAATGATTACAGTAGCTGCTAGAGAGCTGCAGCCTAGGAGTACTACACCCATCAATCTTAGGCAGTCATGCATAATGCTATACATACATTACCTGAAGTCACAGACAGAAAGACATCCTGGATAATACCCAATCTTTTAATCTTTCTCAAGGAATGATCTCTTGATTATTTTACAAATGAGGCATTGATTAGGACTATTTACAACTATGACTTTTATAATTAGCCAGTAGAAACACTGTCCTACACATTCTATATTTACTAAAAGTAAACTTTTTTGAATTCTCAAAGATGTTATCATTGTTTTGATAACACACAGTACATGAATCACTTTGGTTTCAGTTCTTAGAAACAGAAACTCTCTTTTTTTTCTTCTCATTTCTGTTTTCAGTTGTTCTTATTGAGACTTAGTCATCGTAGCCCTTGAACTGTTACTTGCTGCCAAAGCTAATAAAGTAAGATAACAGAAGGGAGGAAACAAAACTATAAAAGCTATAAAGCATAGGGCTCATTAAAGGACCACTATAGTGCCAGGAAAACATACTTGTTTTACTGGCACTATAGTGCCCTGAGGGTGCCCCCACCCTCAGGGTCCCCCTCCTGCCGGGCTGGATGGCAAGGAAAGGGGTTAAACTTACCTTTTTCCAGCACTGGGTGGGGAGCTCTCCTCCTCCGATCCTCCTCCGTTCCTCCCCGTCGGCTGAATGCGCACGCGCAGCAAGAGCTGCGCGCGCATTCAGCCGGTCGCATAGGAAAGCATTATCAATGCTTTCCTATGGACGCTTGCGTGCTCTCACTGTGATTTTCACAGTGAGAAGCACGCAAGCGCCTCCAGCTGCTGTCAATGAGACAGCCGCTAGAGGCTTTGGAGGAAGGCTTAACCCATTAATAAACATAGCAGTTTCTCTGAAACTGCTATGTTTATTAAAAAAAATGGGTTAACCCTAGCTGGACCTGGCACCCAGACCACTTCATTAAGCTGAAGTGGTCTGGGTGCCTAGAGTGGTCCTTTAACATTTTGATAAGAGAAACATATGCAAAATGAATGCTGCAAGGCTGGATGTAGTAACACAAAGTGTGTGTGCACAAGTGTTCATCAGTACCTAATAAGCTCTGTAACAATACTGACTGGCACACTGCCCAATTCGTGATGAGGAGGTTGAATAATAGGCAAATTAAATCACACAAAGACCAAGTAGTATGTAAGAATTAACATCATACTTTATTGTATACACCGGAATCCAAATCACTCTAATCTTAACATCTATCTATTGGTTATAAATTGTGCATGCATTCAGCTTAAATGATCAATCAGCTTAATAAAGCAATATCAGCTTAAGTTTAAAATAAATCACAATATGAGAAGTTCGTTGTCACTCACGAGTGGGGGAACTCAGGCTGGAGGGACTTTCTCCGCTGGGAAAGAGCAAAGCCCTGGACCACGCATCCGTGACACAGATAAGTAGCTCCCTCCTGAGTGTCAGGTTGCCCTGTTTTTTGTACCTTTTTCAAAGGGTGGGCAGTCTGTACTGGTCCACCTTAAATTCTCTTATCAGTGCAGTCCAGTAAAGACATGTCAAACGCATTGGATGGGACTGGCAGCTGGCCATGTCACGTCTTGCGGTTAACTTATCTCTTATCTATCTTCTAACACTATACTATCTTATAAAGTGATTGGTTGTTAGTCTCATGCTATATTTTTATCTCTGTGGGCATTGTCCAGGTCCTGCACTTAGCCTGACCCTATCAAATCATGCTGTGTCATCTTATGGCTTATGCCTGAATTCATCTGCGACACATCCAGGCCTGTGTTTTTTGACATGCCTGGACATGTTTGTGAGACTAACACCAATTTACTTAATTACTATTAGGTTTGTTCAATATCAATTAGTGTTACTAATTAACAATTATTAACATCAGGTTTGCTCAGGAGTGATCAATCAATTACCATCAATCAATATCACTTCAACAAGAAAGAGTATTCATGATATTAACTCCTTAGAGAGAATCTGTTGTGTCCTCAATTTGAGTACAGCTAACTAAAAGCTATAGGTTGTGCTAAAATTAATTTGAAATTCTTCGGTTTATTTTCTTTTCTTTCACAAGCTTTGCTAGGAATAACTTGCACACGTGTATGCATTTATCTGTTAGATGCCAAAGTTGCAGGCACTGAAGTGGAGCGGATTTTAGTACATTTTATACTTGCTTATATTATTAACCCCTAATGAACATTGAAAGGGTATTAGGAGTGTTTAGCATTAGGGCAACCTATGTTTTAAAGAGACTTGGAGTTTAGAGTGTCTGCCTTTAAGGTGCTGTGTACCCAGGATACATGTCACCCAATGTATTCTTTTGTATCTCCCTATGCATCCCCTAACCACCTTTTGCTAGGGAAATCACACATACATACTCATATACTGTACGTATACACATTCAGGTACATAGACTTTCATATTCACACATATATACACACAAAGACTCTCACGCAAACACACAGACACATATATACACACTGGCTCATACACAAACACAAATCCATACACGCACACAAACAAACACGTATTCATATACACACACAAACTCACACACAGACTCATATAAATATGCTAATATTCATCTAAACACAGACTCACACAGTAAATGTATTTATTTAGATATTTTGGGAGAGTGGTTGATAGTGAGGACCAATCAATCCTTTTCTTACTTTGAAAGGGAGAGCTGGAGTGGAGCCTCATTCATGGGGTTAAGTGGGGAGCTGCTGGGATCAGCCTCTGTATTGTATGATTGCCCAGCTCCCTGCAGCTCTGCACTGATACCGGTGCTGTGGAGACATTACATTCCGGTGCTAGCATCAGAACAGGATGTGTGGAGCTAGGAAATCCTTACAAAGGGATCCCAAAAGCTCATCACCGCGCACAGCAGCGACACACAACAGTCACAAAACAGAAAGCAATGCACCAGTCAGCAGGTGTCTACTTTGGCAGGAGGGTGTGTGCGCTGTGCACCTGTAGAATATTGCATATTCTATATGTTCCTATTCAAATACATATTAAGGTGTGGCTGTCTAATGGGTTAAACAGAACAGATGGCATTTGCCATTCTGTACCATGAGGTCTCTGGAATTTGCTGTATAAGAGATTTAGGGTGGTCTTTATATGGGGAATTTCCTTATATGGCCAGAGTCTAAACTAAACGTTATGACATAATTTGGGCTATAAAGGGCAGAGGACAAAGGTCCACGCTCTCTTCCTTCTACAATCCATTTGCTCTCCTCTCTGATGTCCTGAGTTGCTGATACAAAGACGACTCTCTGTAACGTTGTTAAGAAATACCATCTGTTAAGTATATTATTGTTTGCTATTGAAGTAGAATAAATGCATATTTTTTATAAAGAACGTCGGATTGCGTATTAGTACTTTTCATTAATATAGACATATATTAATGTGGTGAGTCTTATATATAAGACTTATTCAACTAAATGAACACACAGCCAGTTATTACATTGACAAGCCAGCTAGACTGTTTTTCTGGCATTCCACACTTCCATTAAGGGGGGAATTGAGCAGAGGACATGAGAGGACAGATCGAATTACTCTTTGTGTGAACGCAGATTGAATAGAAGTGTGTGCAGCCAGAAAACAGAAAAAAAGAACCATGTTAAAAGCTGTGCGTGTTTATCAGAAGACACAGATTTTCAAATTTTCACAAAGACTGTTCCAAGATTATATTCTACAACAGACAAATAAAGAAAGTAGCACAAGATACAACGTGAAGTCTAGAAGCAAGCACGTGGCAGAGATTGACAAGCATCCAGAATCAAGCCCAGAACTGCGCAGCTGGACGAGTAAAAAGCAGACTAAAAGCAGACGGAGTCATGCATTAAAGTTCAACTTGTCTGGTGAGTAATAATGGATTTTGTTACTGATATTGCAGAGAAAAGTAAACTTGATTTTGTGTTTAATAGATGCTATACAGAGTCAATTGTGGGCAAGTTTGTATGAGCAATGTAAACAAGCAAATTCAGCTATTGATAATAAACTGTTATGTTTAAATAAAACAAAAAAGAAAATTAGAAATGTTTTAAAATTGTTAGAGACCTTTGACACAATGATCCATAGAACAGGAGTGGCTCCAACAAAATTGCAAGTACCAGCACAAGTAAAGGTGCAAGATTTAAAAAGTACACAGACAGACATTAAACAGAAATCTGTATGTGTAACAGAAATGAAATGTACTAAATGTGATAGACTCCAGGAAAGTATTTGTGATTTAGAAGAACAGCTGGATCTTAAATCTGAATTGATCTGTAAGCTCAGAAATGAAGCTAAACAGTTGTGTGTAATTACAAGGAGTGATCATAATTTGATACCAGAGCCAGAAATATCATCCCAGTCTGATTTGCAACGTAGAAAATTGTTAGATAAAGCTGCAAAACTTAAATTAAAAATGTTGATAATATCATAGGCACAGATGTTATGCAAAGAAGAGGTTGGATTGTTGATTTGGGAAACAAAGCTATTTTGAAAGATGCGAAGGATAGGAAACCAGTGCTATTGGATCCTACTGAATATGGGGAGTTAGGAATTGTTTGTCCAGTAGATGTAGTGTCTACAGAAATGCAATGGCCTAATACTAGGTATAACCTTGAACTTAAAGAGATTGTACAGAGTTATCCAGATTTATGGGCACAAAGTAAAAATGAATGTGGAAGGTTTAAAAATGTGCTGATTGACATTTAAGGTCCTGATCCACTCCCACAGAGGCAGTATAGATTACCCCCAGATTCAATTGATTCTATTGCAAGTGTCATTAATGAATTGGAACAGTTAGGAGTAATTAGAAAAGCAAAGAGTCCATGCAATCATAATCTGTGGCCAGTGTTGAAAAAAGAGATTAACAATTGATTTAAGAACATTAAATAAATACACACCACCTGTGACGAAGTTCCCTTCGCCACTTGGTACTGGAGAGGCCTGCTTGCCAGCCTCCTCCCCTGTGACTATGACTCTTTGATGTATTTGCCTTTAAAGCCCCTATTCTACCTTCAGACAGACTATTTATGTAGGCTGCTTTATTTATCTTATGTTTTAGTCACCCTGTACCCATTATAGGTGCAGGGTGTGTGTAATGTAATTGTTTATAGTGTGTGTGTGTACTGTGAAATGTATTGCCTTCTCTCCTGTACTGCTGAGGTTTGCTACCAACTAGGTGGGTTTGGCTATGGAGCTGGTCTAGTGCCCTCTGTTGGTAGCAACAGCAATATGCACTACCTGAATTGCAAGACTGGTTCATTTGCATATTCGGGTAGATTTGCATATTGCTAATTCTGCAGGCAGGTGAGATATTTACTGTTAAATATTGTCTCCCCCCACCCCTTTAAAAATGTGCCATTGTGTTGTGATAAGTCACTGTGTGTTTCTTGATATGGTTTGACTGTTTGTGATTTTATTGAGGTTTCACAACAATGTTATTGTGGTGACTGTATTGGCTGGTCCCAAGGGAATAAAGGTTTTGACAGTTCTTCTTGATCCCTCTAAACGTAGCCTTGTCTCGTTATTGGAGGGAGCTGTTATAATCACACTGGGGATTGCTATGCTCTGCATGCTCCCCTGAGCTTGAGTCACTTAGCTCTTTTAAGAGCTTGTTCCTGACACGCTCTCCTTGGAGGAGGGGTCTTCACCACACAGTCCTGGATGCTGGAGGATCATACAGGGTGGAAGGAAGAGTTCTTTCTCACACAGTCCTGGAGGACAGAAGCTGATCCAGGGTGGAAGGAAGACGGCGAGACTCCAGTCAAGATACGGTGGTTGCGGAGTCTGCGGTGGTTGTGGTGTCTGCTGCAGTGCTTGGAGTCCTCAGGAAGCGCTAGGAGCATCCGTCAACGGAGGGTACTCAGTCGGAGTACAGGGAGCTCCGTTACACCACCTTCTGCACATGTGGTAGCAGAAACCCCAGATATGATGTCACGATTGATGTCAACGGCTAAGGTATACTCAGTACTAGATGTAAGTAATGGGTTTTTCTCTGTACCACTGAAGCATAGTTGTCAATATAAGTTTGCTTTTACATTTCAAAATCAGCAATATGTGTTTACTGTGTTACCCCAGGGTTTTCACAGTTCTCCAGCATATTTTCATCAGGCATTGGCAAAAGTTTTGTCTACGTTTTCTAGGCCAGAATGCTTGTTACAATATGTTGATGATATGCTTTTGCAGACTGAAACTGAGGAAGAACACCTGATTCTGTTAAATTAATTATTTTTCCCTTTGCAGGATTCTGGTTTAAAACTGAACACACGCAAAGTAACACTGATGCAACCAGAAGTACAATACTTAGGTGTACACATTGGTACAGGACACAAGAAGCCAGTGCAGGAAAGAATCAAAACTATTTCTTCTCTTCCTGTACCGACTTCACACAAGGCCTTACGCCAGTTCCTAGAATTAATAAATTTTTCCAGAGAATTCATTGAAGGGTTCGCTGAAAAAGCCAAACCTTTATATCAGTGTTTCCCAACCCAGTACATAGAAGAAAAAAAACACCTTAGACACAACTGGGTAATCCCTAAATCCTGGACTGGTAGGTGTGCCTTGAGGACTGGGTTGGGAAACACTGCTTTATATGATCTCTTGAAAAACAGTGAATCTTCATTTGGACTATGGACAGATGAACATCAGAATGCATTTGAGGTACTTAAAAGAGACTTACAGGTTGCACCTGCTTTAGCGACAATACATCCAACTGCATCTTTTGCAATTCAAGTACATACTTCAGAGACGGCTGTCTCCGCAGTACTATTACAATTGCAGCAAGAGATATGGAGAATAGTGGGATATTTTTCTAAAATTCTTTCCCCAGTGGAAAGAGGGCTAGAAATTTGTGCCAGACATTTGGTAGGAGTACATTTTGCGGTAATGGCAACTGAACACATAGTGGGATTCAAGGACATAATTCTGCAAACACCACATACACCTTTGAAATTACTTCTTGAAAAAGGAATTCCAGGTGTGTCACATGAGATATTTTCACAATGGTTAATAGCTCTATCACCAAAGCAAATTAAAGGACCTATCTAGGCACCCAGACCACTTCAGCTTAATGAAGTGGTCTGGGTGCCAGGTCCAGCTAGGATTAATCCATTCTTTTATAAACATAGCAGTTTCAGAGAAACTGCTATGTTTATGAATGGGTTAAGCCTTCCCCCAAAGCCTCTAGTGGCTGTCTCATTGACAGCCGCTAGAGGCGCTTGCGTGCTTCTCACTGTGATTTTCACAGTGAGAGCACGCCAGCGTCCATAGGAAACCATTGATAATGCTTTCCTATGCGACCGGCTGAATGCGCGCGCAGCTCTTGCCGCGCGTGCACATTCAGTCGACGGGGAGAAACGGAGGAGGATCGGAGGAGAGCTCCCCGCCCAGCGCTGGAAAAAGAGTATGTTTTCCTGGCACTATAGTGGTCCTTTAAGGTAGAACATAAGGCAAAGTATGTACTTCCACAACTAATGCAATATGAGGGAAGTTGAAGAGAATTTTCTTTCTCTTTTCAGAAAGGAAGCAAGTGAATCTGATGAACCTGTGTTTGTTAACGGATCCAGATTCTGTTTAGATGGGAAGTACTATACAGGTTATGCTATATGGTATCCAAAAGAGGATATTCAGTAGAGCATAAATTGCCAGGTCATTTGTCAGCACAGAGAGCAGAACTAGAAGCATTAAAAACAGTACTAACACTTGAAGAAAAAGAAGGGTGTCCCCTAGTGATATATAGTGATAGTTCATATGTGGTTAGATCACTAAGAGAACATCTAGCTATATGGAAAAGAAGAGGGTTCGTAGATGCCTCAAATAAAGTGTTAGCACACAAAGAGACACTAGAAACCATATTTGGAATTGCGTCTCAAGAGCCATGTTTACATGCAATAGTTAAAGTTCCTGCCCACCAAAAAGGTAAAGATTTACTTAGTGAAGAAAATGAAATAGCTGATAAATTTGCAAATAGAGCAGCTTTAACCGGTGAAAATGCATTGCAGACAGAGCCTATGTCAGTAGCAGTGGTTAGAAAGACTAACACACAGCCTCCATCTTTTGCAGAAGAACAGGCAAAGGATTCGTCTGTTGCGGCTTCTCGGGTTGATCCAAAACCTCCATTTGTTCATGAGAACGGGGTTTTGTGTCATGACCAAAATGGAGAACTGTGTCCGGTCATGCCAGAGCATCTAAAAGTGTTATTTACACAATATAATCATGAAAGTTTAGGTCATATTGGACAGCAGAAACTGTTAGAGGTACTCAGAAATAAGTTTTATTGGGATAACATGGAAAAGACTGTACAACAGGTAGTACAATCATGTTTGATATGTGCACAAATAAATCCCAGACCTAAAGGACAAAAACCGCCTATACAACGTATAGCACCTGCAAATGGTCCTTGGTCTACTTTACAAATTGATTTTATTGGGCCATTACCAACAGGTAAGAATGGATTAAAATATGCGTTAGTAGTTGTAGATGTATTCTCTAAATGGTTAGAAGTAATTCCACTGACTAAAGATGATTCACAAAAAACGGTTGAAGCATTATGGACACACATTTTCTCAAGATGGGGATTTCCTAGACTTCTAGAGTCAGACAGAGGTACCCATTTCACAGGGAAAATCATACAAGCACTGTGTGCTATTCTAGGTATAGAGCAGAGATTCCATGTTCCATATCATCCACAATCTGCTGGGATTGTGGAACGTATGAATCGAACATTGAAACCTAGACTTTCAAAAATGTTACTTGAGAAAGGCAACACATGGGTACAGGCACTTCCTGCTGTACTTATGGGTAT